GCCGCCGCCCGCCGCACGGGGGCGCTGCACGAGGGGTGGGGGCAGGCGGCCCGGGGCGGTGAGGAGAGGCCGGGCGGAAGGAACGCAGGGGTCTGCGGAGCGACGCTCTGGTCTGCACCGCCGCTTCCGCCGGAAGCTCGTTGGTGCCGGCGGTGCGGGGCCGATCAGCGCTCGGGCCCAACCCCCCTCCGAGGGCGCCATTTGCCGCGTCCGGTGCACGCGGGGAGGGCGGCGTGATGCTGGTCGGCCGCCTGAGGCCTGGCTCGGGCAGGTCCTGCTGGAGGTTCCGCGAGGTTCCGCTCAGTCGCGCTGCCTCCCCGGGTCCTGAGGAAGGAGCCCGGAACATGGGGAGGCTGGACACCGCGGGGCGGAGGGGAGGGGTGCTGGGCAGCCGCCCGCCCACGCGAGGAAGGAGTCGGCAGAGGTGGGGAAGCTCCTGCCTCGGCCTGAGCTGCCGCTGCCTGGTGCCCACCCTAGGAATGAGAGGTGGGGGCTTCTCATTGCTGCAGCCCTGAGCGGAGAAGCTCCCGCCGCAGGTAAAGGAGGAGGATTCCTCCTGGGTCGGCCCTGGGGTGTTTATTTCTAAGTAGCTCTCGTGAAAATAGCGTCCCCTGGGCATGAGTCAGGCCCCTCGGCCTGTGTGCCCTGCCCCACATCACTGACCAGCTTCCCTGGTGTGTAAGGGCTGCAGAGGCACTTGACCATCCTTACCTGCCCCTGGGTGGGTGAGCCAACTCCTGATCCTTGGTCACTGCTGGATCAGTGGGGGGGCATTGGCAGAGAGAGCAAGCACAATGATCAGCCATGCTGGTGAATTCTCTAATAGGCAAATCACCCGGGGTTTACCTAACACTAATGTACAGTGGTACCGATCACTTCATCTGCTCCTTTGCTGAAGTGGAGCCAAATGTTCAAGCATGGCTGACTCAACTGAAATAAGAGGCCTGATTGTCAACACTGGTGAGACCCAGTGGAGTAAAAATAGGGGCTGCAGATGCTCAGTTCTGCAGCTGGATCAATGTGTGCCAACTCCTGAAATTCTACCCAGCCTGCTGTGGTTCAGGCCAGAGCTAGGGTAAAGTATGGTGCTGCAGTAAAGGGTAATAATTGGCACACAATCTTCAGGAAATAGAGCTGTTATTTAGACATTGCAGTTTTAAAGCATATGTGAAAGGAGGATGCAGTAGCCACAACCATAGATAACCTCAAGTATAAAAGGTAATTTCTCATAGTGTGTCTGGGCAGAGCTTCAGAAAACAAATTTGCCGTCTCATCCAGATGTCTGATAACTTTAGGTTTGTATAGAGTTGCCATAATATATGGGTCTATCAGATGAAATAATAGCTACTAACTGCAGATTTTTTAACATCCCCACAGACTTGCCTCCTTAAGTGTTTTTGATGAGCAAGTCATTGCATTCTTTATTTTCATATTGTATTTTGCCATCATATTTTGCATCATATTTTTGTAGCAAAATTTGTTCAGTGTTTTGAGTGCTGGCCTTGGCATTATAGCAGTTGCCACCTAAGCCCAGAAAAGAAATATAGCTTGTATCCAATTAACCCATAACTGCATCAGTATGGATTCAATATGATTGAAACAAAATAATTTCATGATTTCATTAATTTCTGTATTTGTAAAACAAACTTTTTCTGAAGTGCAGTTTTAAAGCTTGGTGCGAGCGCTAGGATGCAGTCTAGCCCAGTTGTATGCTATTAAGTATTTAGATTACTTAGTTAACAGGTCTGGTTTCAGCAGTCCATTAGGAAGGAAACAGATATAGGGCATTTGATTGTTCTACATAGTTCATGCTTCAAGCTTGCATCTTTGTTTTAAACCATACAAGTAAAGTGTTTCATCTTCTGACAACATCGTGGATTAACTGGCTAATGGGCAGCCCTAGTTTTTTCACATACTTTGAAGTATAGAAACTCCTAATAACAGTATTTAGAACACCCAGGAAGCTTCCATCCACAGTTCTCTTGGTGGTTACAAAATAGTAGTTGCACAAAACATTACAGATGAGAGATGCAGTGTGTGCATAAATGAGAGAAGCTGCAAATATCAGTTTAAATATCAGTTACAGTTCAAACACTGTAAGCTTCAGTGTTTATTTCTACTTTTACATACTTAGTCTCCCATTTTAACAATATTTCCTGACAAGTCTTGAAAGCTGTGCTTGCTGTGACATTTAATGTAAAAGTACAGTTTTGTAACTAGTCACCAGTCTAGCAGGCAGCAAATCAACCTTGTTATAGATATATGTCAGTAGTGAAGGATGTAGGTAATTGTTTATCTCTTCCCACCCCTGGCATCTGTTGTCAAAGGCACATCCTTTCACATGTCAAAAATTTAACTGAAGAAAAACCACAGATGAGAGTTTATAATACAGTTTGAGTGCTTAGCAGTATACAAATCACTTGTTTTCAGAGTTGAATATAGTCTGTATCAAGTGCAGATATATAAAGAGCTTCCTTTCCTTTCATAGTGAAGTCCCTTTTTTGAGTGGTAACAGTGCTCAGCCTACATCATTTCAGTGTGACAGGGCTTCTAGGCAGCCGTTTGATTGGTGTCGTCTTATCCATTGGTGTGCCTGACTTGAATATATTTCAGCAGTTGCAGTAAGCCATGAGTCTGTATTATCACAATAGAGTAACTTTGTTATTTCTACAATTACTCTTGGCAGAATTAATTTCCTTGGGTCTAATCTAAGTTTGCTGAAGTCAAAAGCAGTCTTTCCACTAAATTCAGTGGGCTTTCAAATCAAAAGCCTAAAACAGAATAAAAATGCCCAGCCAGTGCTCATCTTTCTATTGCTCATATCCTCCCCACATATTCAAAATATATGTTTCTTGCCAAATGCTGAATGCCTATCTACATTTAAACAGCATTCTCAAGTCACCAGAATATTTCATTTAAGTGCATAGCTTTAGGACTTAAAAATGTTTATGCATTTATATGGAGTATGCACTCTTCTGAACAAGGTACACAGTGTTCAACAAGTACACATCCAGTACCATGGTATTAGCAATTTGGAAACTACCTACCTACCATCATTCTTGAGGTTTCTCCTAGTGAATTTTCAGGGCTGTTAATAGAAGTCTTGAAAATGAAAGGAGATATAACAGCCATGAAACTTACCTAGAGCCCATTGTTTTCAGTGCTTCTAAGGCTAAAAGGTAGCTTGTTCATTAAACTAATATTCAATACTTGGGTTATAAGTAAGCGGTAGGTAAACTATTTGGTCTGGCTTTGTATTATGCAGTTAAGCAAATTACGCATTTGTATGGATGAGTAGAGCACATTGGACTCTTGTGGCATTTTCCAAACATTACAGAATTCCCTAATAGTCAGATTTCTTGACCAAGAAAGTATTGGCCTAAGGATCACATGATTATTTGTTTTGTTATTTATTCTTTCCCAAATAGTTGAAATATGTTATCCTTTGTGCCAAATACAAATAGAACATTACTCACATCCCTGCCAGCAATGCTCTGGCTCTGGCTCTGGCTCTGGCTCTGGCTCTGGCTCTGGCCAGCCTGCAGTCCAAAAGACTATTTCTGTGGCTTGCTACTGTTTGGCACCTTCCATCCCTTGATTTCTTCTCTCTCTGTGTGGTTGGTTCCATGGCCCAGTATCTTCAGAGAACCCTGGAATATATAAAGGATATGGGGTCCATGACTAAAACTGCTTCCTACTTGTGTAGGAATCTCCTTGTATGTAGTTTCCATTTATTGGTAGGTGGTGCACATTTGGAGGTTTGTCACTTGTTCATCTGGGGCTTCATTTCCTCAGGTGCTTGTCATCAGTATTACACCATGGACACTTTCCCACTGATAGATCCTACCTGCAGCTCCAGGACCTGCTTTTCTGATTCCTTCCTATCTAGGAAGCAGCACCTTGCTGCCCCATGAATTTGTTCATATTAGAATTCTATTAGTAAATGTACTAATGAGAGCTTTAGTGCAGAAGGTTAAAAACAGAGCCTAAGTATCACCTATGGTGATAATACTTGCCACTGAGGAAGGAAGGGAGGAGAGATTGAAAGGTAGTTGAATGGTAACAGTTTGAGGCAAATTTATTTCTCCCAGATTTTTTTTGCTGCTTTTACCTTTTTTTGCAGCTTTTCAGTTCCAATGCAGGTGTTTTGGACATAGTCTTTTTGAAAGGAGAGATGAAAAGTGAGCATCAGTGGGTTCATTAGGAACTGGAAAGAAGAAAAATTAAGGAAGCATAATGACAGGAGGAGAAGCAATCAAAAAGTAAATGTATAAGAAAGCCACGTAGCACTACCTTGCCCCGTAGAGTTCCAGACAGCAAAACTACCCCATATCAGTGATGGGGGAACCACCAATGTTCCAACTCATTCTGTTTCACTGGAAACCAAATGGAAGGGACAAGGAGGGACGTGTCCATGTTTGTTAGTGTTTTTGAAATAGTAATAACTGGAAGCCATTACAGGTTTCCAATCTGAATCATTTGATTAATATATCTTTCTGTGACATTCCTTAAGTAGAGGCTGTGTCAGAGAGGTCCACCCAAAATTCTTGTTTCTGTTTAAGATTGTATGCTGTTGCTGTGTGGTACTTGTAGGATGTCCTCCATTTGTGTGCAATTCTCTCTGCAGTTTTCTTTTAAATACAGATTTGCATTTCACAAACCTTATGACAGATAAAGGCCAACTTCCCTTTGCCAATGCCAAACCTTTGAATCACTACAGACATATACCTATTCAACCTTTCTACCTTATCATGTTACTCATAAGGAGAGCATGTGGCTCCTTTATTTCATGCAGAGTCTGGACCATAAATAATCTACCATGTAAACATCAATCTCAGAGTGGTAGGTTACAAATCTATGTCTGTTAAAGTCATCTTTTTGGTGATATTAATGTGGATCCTATACATGTGGGATTGAAGTTTCGTATGTGAATTTTCATGTATCTGCATGCTTGGTGAGTTCCATTTGCCTTTGCTAACTTCATCTTTGATCTCTGTCCCTCTGTCAGTGATGTAATTAAATATGCCTTCCTAGTGCACCTTGTCTTTGTATATTGACAATAGCTTTAAAAGTATTTAAAATTAGAAGTCCGTGGAAAACCTGGCTCATTGTTCTCTCATTGCGCCATTTACTGAAAACATAATAGCCCAATCTGCAAAATATAAAGCAGCTCCTTATCATAATACAGTTTAGCCACTCAAGCTCTATTCTGAGGAACCCTCAGAACAGAGGAGTCACAGTCCTGTTATCACAGGAACTTTACTCTGACTCAGATTCATTAGCAAGAGGAATAAGCATTTGCAGTTAAGGCAGGCTGTAGTACTCCACCCATCGGCCTAATTCTAACATACCATGGTTGCCTGAGTTTTTGTCTATTGGTCTTCTCCTGCCTCAGCTGTTGGGAGCATTATATATACACTTTTTTTTGTAAGTCAGGCCACGCTGTCGCTTAGCTGTTTCAAACAGAAAGAATTACAAACCATCAAAAGGCCATATTTAAAGGATTTGTGTTTCAGTTTCTTCAGGACGGTGAGCAAGCTATTTGAGAAGCAGAAGAGAAAAGGAATGTCTTAAGGATATTACTGATCACCCAAAGCCATCTTCTAGGCCGAAAATGACTGTAAGGAGACCTTGGAAAGTGAATGAAAGTGATCTAAAGAAAATGGGAACAGCAAACATGGCAGGTAGCAGAAATGGACAGAAACTAAGGATGTTAATCCTTGTATTCTATCAGGGTCCATATTTTGTGTGACCTGAGAAGCAGAGATGGAAAAAAGAATCTTATTCCAAATCCACTTGTTACCAATAACACTCCTTGCACACACTCCTAGAACTGGTTGCCCTTTTACAGTTTCCTCTTAACTGCTGGGAATTGACACTGAAAACACATTGCATCCACTTAGTCCCCCACTTGGTACACGTCTAATACAGAAAAATACTAGCTGCTGTTTGGCACATGCACTGTTCTCTGTCCAGGGCATGTTTATTGGTGCATACACAGCACTGCTGTGGTCGTGGCTACATGACATTTCTTCAGCATTTGATGTGCACAGGGAACAGGAGGGCATGTTTTAACAGCAGTGCTCTCAAGCATGATTGGATGCAGCATAGAGCTACCTTAAGCACTTCAGTAAAATTTAGGAAGGTAAAGAAGAGCTACGGTCAAATTCCATAAAGGAGAAAAAGATTTAAAAACTCAGCAGAAACAAAATAGAAATTACTAGTAGGAGAGCACTTCTGAGAAGCATTATATTTATTTAGAACGCATGATGCCTTCACCACTACTGCATTTTCTTCGGCTGTGTATATCCAGAATAGGGTCAGAATTTCATCAAAGGCATTCTGAATTTCACTGAATTAAACAAGAGCATAATTTGGATTGTTCGTTTGGTTGTCTTTTCGGGGGGGGGGTTGCTTTATTTTTTAATAACCTTTTTACTTTTTTGGAGAATATGAAGGGGACAGGAGGGTCTGAAACTGAAAACAGTTTGCTAGGGAACATTCACCCCTCTTATCCAGGTTACCCCTCTTAGCTGGAACATGGCCTGTGAAACTGTTTTCTGTTACCAGTGAAATAAGTTAAAAGAGCACTTTATTCACAGTGGATGGAATTCCATCCTCAATCTGACCTGTGCAATTCCATTTGTAACCTAGCAGCCTACAGCTTTATCCTTGACCAGGCTGGTCTGTCTGCATTTGCTCAGGGCTCACTACATCTGAGTGCAATCCAAGTCTCCAAGACTGAGGTTCATTGATAAGAACAGATCTGAAGTTTGCATAGTGCTAATGTAATATACCTGCCTACAGCCAGCAACACCATTTTCCTACTCCAATCTGCTCTAAAATATACTCGTTTCCAAAAGAGACTCTTACTGTAAACTTCATGCCAAAGCTGTGGTGCTTTGAAAAGGCATATTGGTGTGCTGTCATATAATTGGGAGTCTTAGACTGTATCCCACACAGGCCAACTCTGAGAAAAGAAGCAAGAATGTAGAATAGAACAATAATTGAACAAATCTTGCAACGGGAGGTATATGGATTGTGATTTTGTGGCAGGACAATAAGGGGCGGTAGTATGCTGAACGACCCACCTCACTTTGCCCAACTGAAACCATGCTTTGGGCATCTCCCCTGGGGCACGTATGGCTGGCTGACCCTTCCTGGAGCACACCCACAAGCCTAGGGTAATCACTGCCGCCACTCGGGCTCTGGTCTCTGTTAGGGCTCTGTGCAGCCCAGGGTACACAGACCCTGCAGACCTTGGAGGTGCTTAGCCTGCCATGGTATTTTGGGGTGCTTCTGATAGCCTGAAGCATTCAAAAGCAACCTCCCATACTAGAGGAAAGTAAAAAAGCCAAGCCCACTTTAGCTAGGCAAGCAAAGGGAGCTAGAAGGCTGGTCCCTTCCCTCTTCCCTCAAGAATCCACAAGTCAGCATGCTGTAACACATAGCATTTGTTGAAATGAGAAAAAGAGACTGTAGAAGGGGTACAGGATGGAGGAATGTTAAGAGAAAAAAACACCTTGAGCAAAACAGAATGGGCTTATTGGCCCTTTTTAACATGTGGCTAAAGATATGTCACTCTAATATACTGGCTAAATTTCAGGTAAGTTACTCGCATATACATCTGGAGAATGATAGAATTCTGGAGGCTTTTTGCTTGTTTCAGTGTCCCAAAATGACTGACCTCCCACAAGATGGAGTGACCTATAACATTTTTGACCTCATCACTAAGTTCCAACCAGAAACGGACTATATGATGCAGACCAATCTTTTTAAAAGTCATCAGCATCCCAAGGTGGAGTGATCAGGGTCACACAGGTTGTTCAGTGGGAAACTTGGGACAAAGGAAGAGCAAGCTCCCCCCCTCCCTATAGAATTTTTACAACACAGGTGACGAGGTGGATCCAGCAGCCAGAGTTTGAAAATGGGACTGGGGAGCCTCAGAGCAGAGGCAGACAAAAATGGGGATTTCTGTTGAAAGGCTACAGGAGATTTTCAAAGAAATTTCTTCAGCTTTTGCACATTTCCATTTTTTCTTTGTAAATGTATATCCTACAGACCATACACCCTATAAATGTTGAAGGGCCAGAGGAGATTCCTGCACAAGGATACTCATCTGAAAAATGAAACCCCAAATTGTCTCTAATGGGTATGAAAATAAACATTCTATATAGTTGAATGCAAAGTCGGAGAAAAGCCTATAGCTGCTATGTTTATTGGGTTGTTTAATTCCCTTTACTTTCTGGGGATGAGTGGGGGGAGTATAAGAATGTGTACTTGGTGTACATTAATGCACAGATACAGAAGAATGTAGGGTTGCCTTCAGGTGATCTCCAAGTACAGCAACCTCATCTGAAAATTTGGTAGTATACCTTTCATTTGCTGCAGTTGAACACATCCCTAAAATTAACAAAACCTTCACAAATAGAGTTTTTTCTGAATTTCAGGAAAAATCTTGAATGCAGATCCTGTATGTAGATCAATATGATGCCATGTTTAATAAAATGATTTATACAATGTTCTTTTGTTAATGATTTTTAGCTAAATAGCTGTCAAATATTAAGCAGATTCCAGTTCGGCAGCTTTCCTTGTCAAAATTTGACACAATTTTCATTGTACTGTTGCATCAAACACCTGTTCCCTCTAGATGGTGCTCCACAACCAAGAATCATGTTTAATGCCATCTCTCTTGAAAGACTAGTGAGAAATAGTCAAGAAGACACTCTCCTTTGTCTCTGAATTCTGTCTTATATTTGTTAATCTGTGCAGCAGTTTATAGACTGCTTGTTCTGTACAATGTAAATACATTATTTCCTACTCTTGCAAATTTTAAAACCTATGCACAAGAGCATAAAATGCAACCTGCATGGAATAATATCATCTGTTACTCTGAGGACTGTTCCATATCTCATATCTCTTATGGCAGCCATTAACTGGTGTTAGCTGTTGATCTGCTAGACGGTATGTACATCATCACTACAATTTGATAACTTTTCTTTACAAAGGTCTCTATAATTTTCAATATTTTTATACACGGTATATAGACACAAGCAGTAGACTATATATAGATGCAAATATTCAAATATGGATAAAATGTATAAGAAAGCAAGCAACATTAATGACGATGCTAAGTATGTACATATATTTATATCTAATTAGATTAAATTAGAGATTAAGTAAATACATTTATTTAAATGGTAAAATCATATCAACATTTCTGACAACCAACATTGATATAGGAAAACAGGCAAGCTATAAGGTTCCTTCCAAAGGAGGTGCTGAGTGACAGTCTAGTTTTCATTATTCTGGGTATCAATACATCCATATTTAATTGCCTGGCCCAGACCCTGCTGAAGTCATAAGGGGTCTTTCTTCTTTTTTTCACTGGGTTTTGGATCAGGCCCTAAATCTCCACCTATCCTTCAGTTAAGATAAAATATTCCTTCTCAGGCAAGCAGCTACCAGTGTAGGTGGTGCTCTCATTCCAGGGCATAAACAATGCACAAAAGGGCTCTGACCCCTAGAAAAGTGCATAATAACACTAAGCTATTTCAGCAACTTGCATCTAAAAATGGAGTTCCTTTAAGTCCTGATTCTGCATGCCGTCAACTTCAGTAGTTAGGAACTGAAGGCAGAATTAGTCCTGTAGTTCTTGTATACATGACTCAGGATTTATCAAGCATCTCTGTAGCTAAGTCAGTGGATATACAAATATTACTGTTATTTTAATATAATTATGGATCTAGTTAATAGTTATCTTTTGTGCTAAATATTTCATGTACATTTTTCTTTTCCTTTTAAAAATGGGGTTTTTCTGTGTCAACTCTACCAGAATGGTATAATTAGCTATTATTGTTTCAACCTTCATGTCTAAATGTGTTATATTGGACAACTACAAATGATGCTACTTTTATTTATTGAAGTAAATTCAAGTACCAAGTCAGATTATAGGCATTTCTGATATTTACTGCCACCCATATTGTGAAATTGTCTTGTGAAACCTGTATTAGTTTTGAAAGATACTTTACCCATATTTATAATTAGTTTGCTTACTAAATCATAGTATATTGTAAAAAAAAATGTCCTTTTCAGTTTGTTTCATTGTTATGTATGGAACATAATGTCCTCTGAGTTGCACAATGATGCTAAAACATAAGAACAAATGTATAATATATTTTTCGGTTTCCTGACATTCCTGAAAAGTTTTTTGGTCCTTGAATACAGAGTGGGGCTTTTTAATCTAGATTTTCCTAAAACACCCTGTGTCAAATGTGAATATAATGATGGATCTGTGCCCTAATCTTGTAATATTAGCACCACATTCTTGGCTCCTTCATACTTTTTGTAAATCAATGGGTTATGTCAAGAAGTAGGCCCACTGCCTTCTTAAATATTTGTTTTAAAATTATGGGATTATTAGAATGAGACCGACATTTATGTTACACACATAATGATCTCTGTCTTAGTTCCTGTGAAGTCTGTGGATTCTACCCAGTGGGCTCATCTACACATGCAATTAATGTGATGCAATAAACCTGGTGCATATCGCTTTGCAGTTTATTGGTCCCAGGCACCACGTTTACACATGTGCCTGGGACCACAGCATGTTGAGCCAGGTTAGAACAGCCCTGGCTGGCAGGGGACCCTGGGGGGGGTCAGTCCCTCACCCCGCCCCCACCAGCTCAACAAGCTGCGGGAGAGGGTGACTTGGGCACGAGGATGTTCCAGTGCAGGGCTAGCTAACAGGCAGCCCCCACACTGGAGCACCCTCATGGCTCAGCCAGCCCCATCAGTGACTAAATGTTCACTGCAGCATACCAAATACCACCACCGCAGCATAGTTCTTGTGTTTACAAGTACTAACCTGCGGCGGAATTGATTAGTTACAATCTGGCTCTTGTACCATTTCCTCTCTAGACGACTCTCAGCAAAATTTCCAACACCCTCTTAGTCAGATCTTCATATCTGTCCCACCTCCTCCTCCTCTTGGACTCCTGTTCTGCTTTCAGCACCACCAGTAACTTTTCCTTCTTTCTTCATGTTGTCCTACCTTTCTGGCAGTTCTTTCAGGGTCCCCTTGAAGGACTTTCCTTTCTCCCATTCTTGTGAGGACCCAAGGACAAAGTGTTGTGGGGCTCTTTCATTTTCCCTGTGCATTCCCTTGAGTGATTTCACCCATTCAGAGGATCAACTATAAACCACTTTGCTCCTTAGTTATCTCCATCCATTCAGTCCTGCATCTCAGATCATCTCTCTGGCATTTGGATGCCCTACTGACAACTTAAACTTAAGGGCATGTCCAAACGAGTGCGAAAATGTGGTTTGTGCCACAAACACCACACAAGCATGCATCTGCTGCACTGCTAATTAGCACTGAGGTGGGGTTTTTTGACACCAAGGTGAAAAAAAAAATGCCAGAAAAACAAGAGGCAGCACGTCACAACTGCATGTGCTACCTAAAATCAAATACACCCAGTTCTCTCAGCCTCTCTTCTTAAGTTATGTGTCCCAGCTCCCTAAACACTTTCATTGCCCTCTGCTGGACTCGCTCTAATTTGTCCACATCCTTTCTCTAGTGGGGGCCCAAATCTGGACACAGTATTCAAGATGTGGCCTCACCAGTGCCAAATGCAGGGGAATAATTACTTCCCTCAATCTGCTGGCAACACTTGTACTAGTACAGCCCAGTATGCTGTTAGGTGCCTTCACAAGGGCACTCTGTTGACTCATATTCAGTATATTGTCCACTATAACTTCCAAGTCCTTTTCTGCAGAGCTGCTGCCTAGCCAGGCAGTTCCCAGCCTGTACTGGTGCATGGGACTGTTCTGTCCTAAGTGCAGCACTTTGCACTTGTCCTTGCTGAACCTCATGAGATTTATTTTATTCCAGTCCTCCAATATGTCTAGGCCTCTCTGAATCCTAGTCCTACCTTTCAGTGTATCTGCTACTCCCCCTAGCTTGATGTCATCTGCAAACTTGCTGAGGGTTCACTCCATCCCATTTTCCAAGGCATTGATGAAGATATTGAACAAACCATCCCCAGGACCAACCCCTGGGGCATTCCACTTGATACTGGCTGCCAGCTACACATTGAGCCATTGATTACCGCCATTTGAACCTGGCGCTCCAGCCAGTTATCTATCCATCTATTCATTCAACCCAGACTTCCACAGCTTGTTTGCAAGAATGTTGTGGGAGACCATATCAAAAGCCTTGCTAAAGTCAAGGTATGTTATGTCCACTGGTCTCCCTGCATCTGCAGAGCCAGTCATCCCGTCATAGAAAGCAATCAGGTTGGTCAGGCATGACTTGCCCTTGCTGAATCCATGTCGACTGTTCCTAATCACCTTGTTCTCCGAGTGCTTAGGAGTGGATTCCTTGAGGACCTTCTCCATTATTTTTCCAGGGACTGAGGTAAGGCTGACCAGTCTGTAGTTCCCTAGAAACTTCCTCTTTCCTTTCTTAAATACGGGCATTAGATTTTCCCTGTTCCAACTGTCTGGGACATCTGCTAGCCACTAGTTTTCAAAGATGAAGGGTGTAGCAGGGCACTAAGGTGCCTGCTACTTGAAAAGCAGGAGTACTGGCTCAGGTGCTGGTTGCTAGGGGCAACCAGGAGGAGCTAAGGGCCCACACCTGGTGAGTCAGCTGACCGAAAGGGGCAGGGCTGACTACTATAAAGCACAGACTGGAGGCTGAGAGTGCTCTGTCAACTTGCAGCTAGAGAGGAGTACTACCTGACTAAGCAAAAGAGACAGGCCTTAATGTGAACAGTTGTTTGTATTAATGAAGGATGGAGGACCCGCAGAGGGCAAGTCAAAGGAGGTTAGCGGAGCAGTTTAGTTTTATATTATAGCCCAGGCGCTTGTGTTGTTTTGTTGTTGTGGTAACACCGGAGGACCAGGTGAGGCTATTAGGGGACAGAGGAGGCCTCATAAGGGCTCCACGGTAGCGTGGGGACCCTGGCACCAGAGAGGGCGCAGCATTCGGGGGTGCACTGACCCCAGCCCCGAGAAGCAGAGTGGAGAATCGGAGGCCAGGTAAGGCTGAGACCACCTGAGCCCTGCAGGGGGATTTGGGACCCCTAGGAGATTTAGAGCCAGGCATGGCTACGGCCACCTGAGCCCCAAGGCAGTGGTAACCCCACAGAAAAGGGGCAGTGTGAGAAGCCCCATAGAGTTGGCAGTGTGAGAAGCCCCAGAAAGGAGGCAGAGATTGACAAGTGCCAGGGAGCACGGTTGTGAGGCAAGCCAGAAGTGCTGGTGAGGCATAGGAGAGTAAAATAGACAAACAATGTCCGGTACATCTGCGAGGCTTGGGGCATGGTACAGGGGTGGTTGGAGCCACGCGTAGCCCATAAGGCTGGGGTGCCCGGAACCCCATTATAGAACTGAGCTGCAGGGGGAACCAGCAGAACCATAGCCAAGGGAACGAAGGGCAGCCTCCCTACATAACTACAGAACATCAAAGATGTGGTGGGTGAGATTGTGAGGGTGCTTTAATACCGACTTGGCACGGTAGGGGGCGCTAGGGGAGATCACAGCCACCCCTAGGACCCAGCTTTGTTACAAAGGGTAACAGTTATGCAGTCATATCAGCCAACTCCCTCAGTACCCTCAGGTGCATCACATCTGGCACCATGGACTTGTACATGCCCATCTTTTCTAAATCATCCCTAACCTGTTCTCTTGCCACTGTTGGCTGCTTACCTTCTTCCCAAACTGTGCTGCCAGGTGCAGTACTCTGGGAGCTGACCTTGCCTGCAAAGACTGAAATTAAAAAGGCATTGCGTACTTCAGCCTTTTCAACATCGTCTGTCACTAGGTTGCCTTCCCCATTCAGTAAAGGGCCGACACTTTCCCTGATCATCTTGATGCTTACATACTTGTAGAAACCCATCTTGTCACCCTTCACATCCCTTGCTAGCTGCAACTCCAACTGTACTTTGGCCTTCCCAGTTCCATCCCTGCATACCCAAGCAATATTCTTATACTCCTCCTTAGTCATTTGTCCAAGTTTCCACCTCTTGTAAGCTTCCGTTTTTGTGTTTTAGCTCACTGAAGTGTTTCCTGCTAAGCCAAGCTGGTCTTCTGCCATACTTCCTAGTTCTCTGCACATTGGGATGATTTGTTCCTCTGCTCTCAGTAAGGTTTCTTTAAAGTACATCCAGCTCTCTTGGACTCCCTTCCCTCTCAGACTGGTCTCCTAGGGGATCTTCTCCATCAGTTTCCTGAGTGAGTGTAAGTTGGCTTTCCTGAAGTCCAGGGTCCTTACTATGCTACTTTCCTTCCTTTCCTCAGGATCCTGAATTCAGTCATCTCATGGTCGCTGCTGGCCATGTTGCCGTTCACTTCTACATTCCCCACCAAGTCTTCCTGGTTTGTGAGCAGCCAGTCAAGAAGTGCATGGTCCCTAGTTGGACTCTTCAACACGTGCACCAGGAAGTTGTCCCCAACACTCTCAAAAAATTTTCTGGATTGCTTGTGCACATTGTGAATATGTCAGGGTCAGTGAAGTCCCCCATGAGAACCAGGGCCTGTGATCTGAAAACTTCTACTAGATATTTGAAGAAAGCCTCATCCTCCTGTTCTGGTGGTCTATAGAAGACATGTACCATGACATCACCTTTGTTGCTGTCCCCTCTAACCCTAACCCAGAGACTTTCAACAGGCCTGTCTCCAGCTTCATACTGGAGGTCTAAGCAACCATATGGCTCTTACATAAAGTGCAACTCATCCTCCTTTTCTCTTCTGCCTGTTCTTTCTGAATAGTTTATGCCCATCCATGACAGTGCTCC